CCAGTCTGGCAACGCCAACTAGACCAAATTTTGTCATCGAGCTGACTGTCAATTTTTCGTGCTTCAAAGCCACGTGGTTGAAATTCTAAAAATTCAGGACTAAGGTTGCTGGAAAAAAAGAGAATTCAAGTAAATTTTGTATTGTAGAATTTTCACCAGACATACATACAGTATATATATATATTTTTTTGTTTGTATAGTATTAGATTTAGTCACAGAGATATGGAGGGAGCTGATAGCGTAAGGGGTATTTTGAAGGGTGCCACCACCATGACCAACAGTGCCATGCTGAAGACAGCCAAGTTCGATGAGATGAATGTGCTGGAGACCTTTCATCCGGCGAACAAGGACTACGGCCACATGATAATCGACGAGCCGAAGACCCCGTTCGTCTTCGAGGATGATCTGCCGCATGATCTGGACACGACGACGCTGATGCGTAAGCTGCGCCTGGCCTCGCAGAGTGAGACACCGGCATTTGGCATCGAAGCCGATTCGGATGATTCGTCCGTCGACGAGGACTATCCCGAGTCGGTGGACGAGAAGGTGCGTCGCCTGGAGTTCGAGCGTCGCCGCAAGCTCCATTACAAGGAGTTTCTCTCGGTGCCGCTCGCACGACGTCTCATCGCCCAAGAATTCGGTGACATGAGCAGCTCGGAGATCAGCATTCAGCCGGAGACAATGCGCACCGCCGAGAGCTGCATCGAGGAGGTGTGCGGCGACAATGTCGAAATGGAGGACATCAGCGGCGAGACGGGCGAAAGCGTTCTCTCCGTGGGCTCGACCAAGCTGAGCACCGCGGACGATGATACCGACGTGCCGCCCGAACCGGAGCCGGGCTTCAACGTCAACCATCCGTGCTACCAAAAGCTGACGGCCGAGAATAACGAGGGCAGTCGTCTCAACTCGCAAATCCAAGCGGATCCATCGTCGCCTTTCGCTGGCATCGAACATCCCGCGGCAGAGTAGTCTAGGCGTTGGCCTAAACCATATACCCAAATGTATATGTATATGCATATATGTGTATATGTATATGTATATCTCTATAACTGCACATCACATTTGGCTCATGAATCGAATTTTACTGTTAAATGCATTTTGATGTTCAACTTGTTCAAATTACGATTGTCTGTCTGCTAGCGATGTCTATTAAAATTGTTACGTTCAAGACCGGAACCGAGCTTAAGATTGGGACGAGCTGCTTTGTTCAGTTGGCCAACAGTTTGATGCCAATTGTTTAGACTCTCTGCTAGCTATCTCTGTCTTTGTCTGTCTGTCTCTTCCTGCACTGGCAGCACTGGCTGAATATTTAATTACGTCTTGGCCTGGCCAGTTGCTTCCTGTTGTCGTCCTGGTCCTGGCCTGATGGCTTCCATTACATTGACTCTCGCAAAAGTTTGTTTAATAACTAATTTTGGCATTTTGTTGTGTGCGTGTGTGCATATGTGTGTGTGTGTGTGTGCGGTGCAGCGTAATTGAAAATTCCTTTTTTGGTCGTTGGCTATGCAGATAAATTAATTTTGATTTATTGTGGCAACCGCATCTCCTGCCACTTAAATATTATTTCTGGCTAGAGATACCGAATGGCATTTCGGTCTCGTTAACTGTAATTTCCATCGAGTCGTTTAAAACAATTGTGCATAATAATTCAATTAGCAATAAAATGTGTTCTAAGCAGCGATGCCATTACTATTATTATTATTAATATTATTATTATTATTGTGGACTTTGTTGGATAATTTCTGGAAATTGCTTCGCTGCGCACTGAGATTAGATACTCGAGAATTTGCCATTCAGATAAATGAAATTTAATCAAGTGTATAAAATTACACTAATAATCTCACTTGGCAAACGCTATGGAGGCGATGGCAATTAATGCATTAAATAGGTTCAGCTAACAAGTGCAAATTGTGATGCCGAGAGAATATTTGATGCAATTTAAGTGGCAAAGGCTTAAATTACATGCGAGCACAAAAGAATCGAGCACTTAATGGGCGCAATGCCCGCTCCACGCACGTATCCTTTGGCCACTTGTCGAATCCGGCCCGCACGTAGAGAGCATGTGCAATGGCCAAAAGCCTTTAATATGGATTCGCGTGGCTGCAACATGTGTGAAATGGAATTTAAGTTGGCCCAGTTTATGGCCAAGTCAGAGCCGTAGACATGGCAGCTTCTCTCTCTCTCTATCTCTCTCTCTCTTTCTCTTTGTGTGTCCTCTTTGCCTTGGCAATACAATTGCCGTGTACATTTCATTAAGTGCATAAGCCGTCGC